AAGTGAGACTAAATTGACACTAATAAATAATATAAGGAATGAAAAATATACTTTTGCCCTAAAATTTTATAACATCTATCGTACCGGATTATTATTTGGATCTTAAAGCTAAGTACTTCATGCTTATAAGATACTTTCATTGAAGCATGATGAAAGGTGAGCTATTAAAATTGAAGTACAGTTTGCTTACATAAAAAATAGTTGCTTAAAAATAAAAAATCATTTAAAGGCTCAACTAACAAATTTCAAAGAAGAGAGAATAAAACAAAATGTAAGTTCATACACGGTACTCAAAATGATTAAGTTAATTTATTTGCCTTAAAATTAAGTATAAATAAAAAATATAAAAATTAAAAATTTTAAGATTTGCTTATAAGAAATATCATTAAAGTAAAATGTGTACAAATTATTTAAGAGTTACTTAAGTATTATGTGATATTGTAGGACTTATTTGAAATAAGATAAGATATCAAAGTGTGTGTCTCATTAGATATCTTATAAAAACAAAAATATTATGTATAAGAATTAAAATAAAATTTTTAATTATAGATATTAAAATATAAAATTTGTAAAATTATAAATAACAAAAAATAATTAAATCATAATAAAATACTACTTTTTTATACATGAATAAAATCAAATCACATTCTTTAATTCGGTATACAATCCACATAAGTAACACAATCTTTTATTGGCAAATAATATTTCTTCCTTGTGTGCTTAAACAAATGAATCTCCCTTCTAATGCCTCCTCTAACTATGTCTCACCACGTGTTGTGTAACCCATTATTTCATTTTTTTTAAAATGCAAAATAATTAAGCTCTACAATTACAAAGACACGACAAACCTTTCAACATTAACAAAGATCCCCAATCATACCACTGAAGTTGTGGATCTAGTGCTGGATAAGCAAGCTCCACCAAATGGACAACCATTGATGCAAATAACAACTTAGAAAGTGAAGTCAAGGAAAATACATAAAAGAACACCAACAGGAAAAATAAAGTACATAAAAGAAGGAACTGCAAACTTCCTAATCAATACTCATCTCCATCCTCCCCTTCATCACCTTCAGTAGCCTCGGCACCAACCTCCTCATAATCCTTCTCAAGGGCAGCAAGATCTTCACGAGCCTCGGAGAACTCACCCTCTTCCATGCCCTCCCCAACATACCAGTGCACAAATGCCCTCTTGGCATACATAAGGTCAAACTTGTGGTCAATGCGCGAGAAAACCTCAGCAACACTAGTGGAGTTGGAGATCATGCACACTGCCCTCTGCACCTTGGCAAGATCACCCCCTGGAACAACAGTTGGAGGCTGATAATTGATACCGCACTTGAATCCAGTGGGACACCAATCAACGAATTGGATAGTACGCTTGGTCTTAATAGTAGCTACAGCTGCATTAACATCTTTAGGGACCACATCACCTCTGTACATCAGACAACAAGCCATGTACTTGCCGTGCCGAGGATCACACTTGGCCATCATAGAGGATGGCTCAAACGCACTGTTTGTGATTTCAGCAACTGACAATTGCTCATGGTATGCTTTCTCCGCTGAAATAACGGGAGCGTAGGATGAAAGCATGAAGTGAATCCTAGGATATGGAACAAGGTTAGTCTGGAATTCAGTAACATCAACATTAAGGGCACCATCAAACCTCAGAGATGCGGTCAACGATGAGATCACCTGAAAATATTGTCATAAGAAAGTCAGATCTCATGCAATAAAATGATGAGAAATGCTATCAACATTCACTCTAACACTCTCTTGCTAACACTCTAATATTGATTGAAAATCACAAATATTAATGAGTCTTGCCATTATATAAGGAAAGATTCATTAAACAAGATATAGTAGAGTTTGTGATTTCCAATAAATTTTATCTAATAAAAATAAGAGTGTTACGAAAAGAGTATTAGAGAGAGTATCACCACTACTCTGAAATGATATAGCAGAATTTGCTTCGATTCAAATGACCTGAGAAACTAAGCGATTAAGGTTAGTGTATGTAGGTCTCTCAATATCAAGGGAACGCCTACAAATATCATATATGGCTTCATTGTCAAGCAGCACAGCAACGTCAGTGTGCTCCAAAAGGGAATGGGTGGAAAGGACACTGTTGTAAGGCTCCACCACAGAGGTTGAAACTTGTGGTGAAGGATAGACAGTGAAACCTAGCTTGGATTTCTTTCCATAATCCACTGAAAGCCGTTCCAGGAGAAGGGAACCAAGACCCGAACCAGTGCCACCACCAACAGCATTGAAAACCAGAAAACCTTGGAGACCAGTGCAGTTGTCTGCAAGCTTTCTGATACGGTCCAAGCCAAGATCAACTATCTCTTTCCCAACTAAATTAAAAGATCACCACAATAAGCAAAAAAAAAAATATTATTTATTATACAATCAAAGAAAAGGCACAATTTGTGAAAAGAAGAGTACTAGTATAGTGGCCACGAGCGAAGTTGTTTGCTGCATCCTCCTTTCCACTAATGAGCTGCTCAGGATGGAAGAGTTGGCGGTATGTGCCGGTCCTCACTTCATCAATGACAGTGGCTCAAGATCTACGAAAACTGCGCGAGGCACGTGCTTTCCAGCACCAGTCTCGCTAAAGAATGTATTGAAAGCATCGTCACCTCCCCCTATGGTTTTATCACTTGGCATCTGCCCATCAGCCTGAAACACCACCCCATGCTCAATATCCACTCCAACCAAGAACAATTTTTAAATCATCAAATTTTATGTGCACCTCAACAAGTTCAATATTGGTAGTAATAAAGAACGCACATTGATTTTAAATTTATAATCAAAGATGTACGAGTTATTGGTAAAGATTGTGCATGGTAGAAGTAGAACGTTGGATCAAAGTGGATCAAAGCTTAATTGACTATAAACAACACAAAATTCGGCCTCTAAATTATTTAAGAACAAAAAAGACCTAGCACTATATTATCTGTTGTTTGATTAGTAATATCTGAAACGAAACTTGATTTTGAGGGCAAACGAAAAGGTATTCTAATCTGTTGAATCCGAAATGATGCTAGATATACAAGTGACAGTAATGGTTAAAGATTGAAACAATGACGTTGAAGCTAAAGGAAATGCGTGTGAATATTATGTAGTAAGGGCAAAACAGAATAGGATTAAAAGAAACGTTGAGATTTGGAATATTAGCTCACCTGAATGCCATGTTCGAGGCAATAAAGCTCCCAGCAAGCATTTCCGACCTGAATGCCGGCCTGACCAATGTGAATGGAAATGCACTCTCTCATTTTGGAAATGGAAATGGAAGGATGAAGAAGAAGGTGGTTAGCGTTTATTAAGACGCCTCTCCCTCCCAATGTTCAGTTTCTCTGTTTCGGTTTCTTTCTTTTATAGCTGTGGAGGTGTATATGTAAAAATGAAAAACAGTAGGGTGTAATAGGAGGACAAAAAGGTGATGGTTCATCAATATAATTAAAGAACCATTCTCCATATTTTTCAGAACCGCATGTGAGATGGACCTTCTCCATCAATGTCCACTTTCCTTCACGTCTCAACAGCTGCAGCTTTTTGTAGTAGAATCACCCTTGCTTGAACACTAAGCTTTCATGAGGGAAAGATAAGGGAAAAATATTCGGCCTAACTAAGCAATCGCATGTTCTCCTTTTTTAGGGGGAAAAGAAGGAATACAAATTCATCCTATAAAAGATTATTTAGATATTATCAACAATTATTAACTCTGTTGTTGTCAACACTCCAACAAAGGGTTAATTCAACTCTCTGGTCTCTATTTCTTATCTTGAATAAACATTCTACCAGAACAATTTTGATTAATAAAATTTGGGACATAAGTTTCAATGTAATTTTACACATATGAATGAATGTTGGAATCAATTGTGGACCAGATGGGTGATCCACTATTATATAAGAATGCAAGCCTAGCTTTTTATTTTTCACAGTTATGCTCCAAAAACAGATAAAGAAAAAGAAAAAGAGGGATAAAAAAGATAAGGATATGCTATACTGCTAAAGCCTGCAGGAAGGTATTTCTTTTTCAGTATAGTATGGCTGTGAATTTCCAATTCACTACTTACTTTACTTTGATTAAAGACGGCATTCACGACATATACAAGAAGATGTACATAAAATGAATAACTAAACAATCACTCATAAAGCTACCCATTCCTTTATAACAAAGATGCTCAAAATTTCCTCCTAAGCAAGTTTTCCTTCAAGCACAGCCATCAATCACTTTCATGTGGTGCCTGCCGCCATCGCAATACAAAATTTGGGTCCTATAGTGGGACTGGAGAGAGCTCGGGAAAAGCTCAAAACAGTTTATGATCCTTGAGCAATTCAACCACTCTTCTCATCGAGGGTCTATTAATGGGAAACGCTGAGGTGCAGAGCAGGGCCACATTCAAAACCTTCTCAATCTCCTCATAATCACAAGTGGCTAGATTCAATCTTGGGTCCACAATCTGGGACATAATATAATCTTTACTACCCCCCATATTGCGACTTCCTCTTTCAGGAGACGGTGATAAAACAGTCTCAGTGACCCATTTCACTATATCCTTATTCTCACCAAATGCAGAGTCATTAGGCCTCTTTCCAGTGATCAGTTCCATCAGCACCACCCCGAAACTATACACATCGCTCTTCTCAGTCACTTTCATTGTATAACCATACTCTGCAATCGGATCAGATTAGTTAGATATTATCAATCAATCAAGCTTCCCAAAATATGAAAGTGTAATTCTCTTCATCTTTATTAACCTCTACTCAAACTAAGTAACCATTACAGTAGTCATAACTAAAAATATTTCTTAAAAAACATGGGGGAAAAATAAAAGAAAACATACCTGGAGCAATGTAACCATATGATCCAGCAACCCTAGACATAGCAACACCCTGGGTGGCCTCACGTTGCAATGTCTTAGCAAGCCCAAAGTCTGCTACTCTTGGCACAAATTCATGGTCTAACAAAATGTTATTACTCTTTATGTCTCTATGAACAATAGCAGGCACACAATCATGATGTAAATAAGCCAACCCTTGAGCCGCACCTACAGCAATGGCAAACCTTCTAGACCAATCCATCAACTCTCCATACTTATCATCACCATGCAACACATCCCCTAAGCTCCCATTCTCCATGTACTCATACACCAATATCCTAAACTCATCACCACTGCAACTAAACAACAGTTTCACAATATTGGCATGCCGAATCCTACCCAACGTCTCAATCTCCGCCCTGAACACCAATTCCGTGTCAGGCTTCTGCGCACCGCAGAACAGCTTCTTCACCGCCACCGTCTGTCCCGTCTTAAGCCTCACCCTGTAAACCCTACCCGAACTCCCAGTGCCAATCACGTTCTCACTCGTCAAGTTGGGAACTATGTCTTCTTCATTGAACCCCACTCTCTGAAACGCCGTTGACATAAACGAACGCTTGGACTTCCCGCCAAAACCCTTGCTCTTCAGGAACCACAACGTGGACCCCACAAGGAGCGAAACGCAGGCAACCAAAACGACAATCGCAAGCAGAGAAAACGGCCTGCGTTTGGAGCATGAAGGAAGGGTTTTGATAACGGCACTACACAGACCCGGGTTTCCGGTTAGACCCAATAAGTAAATTTGGTGGTTGAAACCCATAGGAACCTCCCCGTGCAACTTGTTATCAGACACGTTGAACTGGTTCAGCCTTAAGTTCGTCAACTCCACCGGAATCTCCCCCGTTAAATAATTATCGGCGAGATCAAGGTACGTTAAATCCGGCAAATTACCGAGCTCCGGCGGGATTGAACCGGTGAACCTGTTAAACGACAAGTTCAACTCTGCCATGTCACTCCAAAGGCTCACATTACTTGGAATCTCGCCGGTGAACATGTTCTCTTGCATTCTGAGTTTCTGCAACTTACTCAAACCGGTTACGCACGTGGGAACTTCCCCGGTGAAGCGGTTAATGCTGACGTCAATCTCCACGAGGTTGTGAAGTTCGCAGATTCCCGTTGGGAATTCGCCAGAAAAAGCGTTGCCGGATAAAATGAGTTTGGTGAGTCCCCTGGAAGAAGCGGAAACAGAACCTTGGAACCTGTTGTTGGACATTTCCAGAAACTGAAGCCCAGTAAGGGCCCAAAACGTTGGCGGCACCAGGCCCGAGAGTTCGTTGTTCTGGATTCTGACATATTGAAGCGAACCACACTCGCCGTACTCGTTAGGAAGCGTTCCAGAGAAGCGATTCGCGAACGTGATGAGACGCTCCAGTTTCTTCCCCTGACATAGGTACCTTGGCAACTCTCCCGTGAAATCATTAGTTGAGACATCAAATTCCTGAATTTCAGAGTTTCGCCCCAGATCTCGTGGGAGTTTACCAATGAAGCTGTTGTTGAAGAGTTTAAGCTGTTGCAAATTAGGGTTTGAAGCTAAACTTTCAGGAATTTCTCCACCGAGGAGGTTGTCGTTGAGGTTCAGAGAATAGAGGTGCAATGAAGCGATTGTGTGAGGTAATTTTCCGGTGAGAGAGTTCTGAGAGAGGTCCAAGCGAATTAAACTGCTTAGGTTTCCCAAACCTTGGGGTAGCTCGCCGGAAAGAAGGTTTTGGAATAGTTCAATTTGTTGCACGTTTTTCAGAAGTGAAATGCTGTTCGGGATTTCACCTGACAAGGAGTTTTGAGACAAATCCAAGTTTTTGAGCTTGGTGAGGTTCCCAATGGAGTGTGGAATTTCCCCAACGAGGTTTAGTTCGGCTAGGAACAGAGTTTCGAGGTTAGAGAGGTTTCCTAGTTGGGAAGGTAAAGGTCCTGGTTTGAGGGGATTATAAGCTAGTTCCAAACGAGTTAGCTCGCTGAGTTTGCCTAAAGAGGGAGGAATCGTCCCGCCGAGAAGGTTACCGAATAAAGTAAGCACTCTCAGGCGTGGAAGATTTCCGAAACTCGCCGGAATGTCGCCGCTGAAGTTGTTTTTGGAGAGGTCTAGTACTCTGAGTTGGGTGAACTCCGGCGGGAATTCCGGCAGGTCTCCGACGAAGTAGTTGTCGGAGAGGTTCAAGAGACGGAGGTGGGAGCAGAGAAGGAGAGAGTTGGGGATGGCGTTGGCGAGAAAATTGGATGCAAGGGAAAGGTTTTGGAGGGTGTGAATGCGACAAAAGCCGGAGGGGAAGTCACCGTAGATGCCAGTTTCGGAGAGGTCAATGGTGAGAAGTGATTGTTGTCGTGCGTCGCAGGTAATGCCGGTCCAGTTGCAGGGGTTGTTGTGGTGTGTGTTGGGCACCCAGTTTTTCAGACTCTTGTTTTTGTCTTGGAGCTGGGTGTTCTTGACCTCAAGTAGAATTTGAGATTCTCTTTGTAAGGACACCCCTTGAGATAAACCACCACTTAAACATAAAAATAAAAGGAGCAACAAGGGTTGTTTCTTCATCTTGTGAAATTTAATTTACAGTGAGGAAGCAAGGGTGTTGTGAGTTGTAAGAAATGAGAGTGCTCTACTTTTGAGGGGACCTAAGGAGAAAGGACTTTGTTGTTTTGCATGAGTGAGAAAAAGGGAAGCAGTAGCTGTTGTTGTTGTAGTGGTTCATGGCATGCATGCAATGCAAATGGTGACAAGATGGAAGTGGACATGAGTAATGTGCAACTCACGCGGTTCTCATTGTTGAAGTGATTAAAAGGTTGGTCTTTTGGGATTATGAGGATGTTGACTATTTGAGTATTGAGTGGGGGAAAGGGACGTTTGTGTTTACAGACGTGATTCGCGTTGGCGTATTTTCAAAAGCATCTACTTTTAATGTGCATGCCAAGCCAGAAGCAGAGAGCATAGGACAGTGGTGAAGGAAGAAGAATCATTTTTGGGATCGCTTTCTGGTGGATGACACTTTGACACCAGCTAATGATATATGTTCCTGGTATCACGAAAGAGAGTTGTGTTGTGCTGTGTGACTTTGGATTTGATTTCGACCAGTTCGGTGTGGATCAATTTGAATTGGAACCAATTCTATTTCCTCTTTGCCTCTTCTAGAGGAATGTTGGAAGAAAAAGGCTAGGAACGAATAATAACAAGAGTTTTGGACTCAGATTTCAGACATTCCAAAGTTCCCAAATTTAATTCATTACACCTAACATCTATATTCTTAGAACTACTCCTTCTTCGGAAAGAAACGAATAAGTGAAGATGATAAGGATAAAAAAAACAACCTTATTTTGGGGTAAATTAGGTAGAATGTAGAAAGTAGAAACAATGTGTAAGTTAAAAAGAAAGCATATATTAATTATTTTTTATCAAATAAATAAACAACAGTATTTTTACGTATATATATATTTTTTACATATTTTAAAAAAACTAAAAAGATATATATTTTTTTATTTCTACCAAAACATTAGTAAAGTAACTCCTAAAAAAGGAATTAGGAAAGTTGAAAGTTGAAACAGAGAAATTATTGAACTGGACTTTGTCTCTCTCCCCAAAATCAATTTAAAAAAGATATTCAATAAATAATTTATTTTTATTTAAAAATTGTATAGGAATCAATCTTATCCTATATTTGAAATAAAATAATAAACTCTATTTTTTTTAGATATTTTTACGGTTAATCAATAAATACAAAAATTTAAATAATTATTATAAAAACAATAAATTAACTTATCATACATGTCAATTTATAATATATATATATATATATATATATATGAATTTACACGACTGTGACGTAAACTATTTACTCATAAAACAAAGATGCTAAGAATGTATGAATAGTTCACAGAAACCTCTCAAGCAAGGTCCTAGTCATGTTAGAACAGGTAGAGAGAACAAAAAATGATTCGAAAATATATTCTTCCTTATAAAACACTGCAATAGTTCCCCACATGCGGATTATCTGAGCCATAGGTAGCTATAGTATGGCAAACTCTCCTGTACGACCGTTGGTGAGATGGGAAAATGACAATAACATTATGAATTTATGCATTAAAAACATTGTAAGATCGTGAGATCAATTACAGATTTGAAATTAGAATTTAAAAAACGAGAAGTTAGTGCTTGGAAAGGATCAGTAGCTCTGACTCTGCGTCGCCGTGAAGAATCAGCTGTTGGGTACAAGACACGAGTTGTCTCCCACTTCCTCCCTATTCCCTTACAATGTTCCCGAGGGTCATTTAAATAAACAAATACTTAATCAACCTCACTACAATGTTTAATCAACAAATACTAGTAAAGACGCAAGCAATGGAGTCTCATCCAAACAAAAGAAAGACAAGACAAAATGTGGCACGGTTTTACTCGTTGAAACAGCCAAGAAATTACTCCAACCATGCATAAGAGCTAAACCAGACTCTCGTGATGGACCCTTTGGCAGCAAATACGCATCATCTACAAAATAATGAAGCGTATAATAAATGCTTTTGTTGACTCCGCAGTTGTACTGCTGAATATTGTCACCACCTTGTCAGTGCCCTTCCCTAATGGTGAGGGTGACCCTTGCAAGTTGCTAAAACTATTGGTTGTGCATGGGTCGGGATAATGCATCATTTGGTCATTGACCTACAAAAAAAGCATATATTTACGCCTCATGAAGCTGTAGTTTCATCCTTCTATATCATAATGTCATGGACTTCTTAGTTACTGCCTATGTGCGTCACTTGCAAATGTAACCATATTCAACATATAATATTGCATTTAATTAGTATAAAATAACTTCTAATAATCGAAACGAAAAAGCCAGATTAGTTGAGCTAATTTAACCATTTGGTTTATAATATGAATTGCAATATGATGATGGTGGTAGGTCATGACTCATGACTTATGTGACATAGCTAGGCTACCACATTCCCTGTTGCCACATCTACATAGAATCAATAACCGACAAAAGATGACACACTAATCTTCTGTTTATGCCTTTATGGTATAGCTTTATTGACTTGGTTAAAGAAAATTGGGAATATTGTTGTCAGATAGTCGTTGGACTGGGTTCCTTTAATTAACCTGTCCAAATGAAAATGTTTTTTAGCCCTTGAACTTTTCTGGAATTGTATTGTGCCCGTGCCATGTATGCCATGTTTCGACGTTGAAACAAATGCTACACATATTGACCTCTCATGACTTGCGTTCAATCGCATAAATACAAAATTCTAAAATACTTTGTTTTCAGGCGAGCGTCGCTGTATTGTTTAATTCTGTGATCAAATATTCTCAAAATCCTTCTCTTACTCGGCCGGGTACCTCAATTTTGAGGGAATCATATGACCCAGTGTCAAGTTCCATTAAATATCATCAGAGTACTAGATAGTAAATAAGCAACAAACCATGATAATTAAGTTTCCATGTTTAATTAACAACTTAATTAAATAAGGTACTTGAAACAAAAAATTCTATCGTAAGTCTAATCAAAACTGCTCTCTCCATTGGCTATTATACTATATTATCTCGAAAACCAAAATTTGTTATTCAAGATAGAACTGCCGCAGTTTTTGACTGTAGTAACAAGCACAATCCTATACAAATTATTAAATAAAATACCATAGGAAAATTATTTCCAGGCTTGAATGTGCATGAAAAGAAAATCATGGGCAAACGACTAGTATTTCACTTCAATTTTCAAAAGTTTTCATACTTGATATGATGATTTACACTCATGATTCAAGATATACATAAGATATTTAAGAATGTGGAATGCTGAGAATTTCAAAAGTGAACATCGAAGATGTTTAGAATATCTCATAAACCATAATGAATTAGCCAATCATAAAGCATGAGATTTCAATTATGTATTTCTAGCGAGTACATAAAATATAAGATTGAATTTAACTTATGAAAACAAAAAAAAAAAACAAAAAAACTTAGATTAAAATTTCGTATTTCACTCAAAATGTTGACGTCATGACCTTTTATTGAAGCAACTACAATTCAAAATATTGGTAATGTATTTGTACAATGTGTGGATGCCTCAGAAGGATTCATTTGATTAGATAAATTTACCACGTAGCGTCATTTTTCGTGGGTTCGAGCCGTTGGTTTAATTTACTTCAGGTCCTGAAGTGTATATATATATAAACTTGGTATATAACTTGTTGAAAAGGGTTTATAAGCATATAATATTGTATATTAGCCGCGCTCTTTGCAAATTCAAATTTAATTTTGTTCGCACTTTTCATCGATAAGAATTACGACGATAATAATCGAAACTAAGAAAACTCACGGGTATGTTTATGCATTATGTTGGAATTTATAAGTTATTAGTTTGATATACAAGAGTTTGATTAGCTTGTAAGATATATTTTGTAAAACTAATTTATAAATTAGTTAAAATTTATATTAGAAGTGTTTATAATTTTTTTTTATTTTGATTAATTATTAAATTATTTTAATCAAAATAAACTTATTTGATATGCAAACTTATTTTAATAGTTTATAATGATATTTGATAAGATTAAGTTATTAGGTTTTTTTTTTCATTTTCACCTTCATTAATTTATTCTCTTTTTATATTAAATATATGAATATTTTTTTGTCATTTTATATCTATGAACTAACTTATCGGCTAACTTTATTAAAAACTTGTATTTTAACCAATTAGTTTATAAGTTTCTAGTTTTTTAATTCTCAATTTATAAATTACAAGTTTTTAGCTAATTTATAAACTAATTCTACCAAACATACTCAAGTAGCTTATATAAATTAACTACTAAAATAACCTTGTGTACCAAAGAATTTATTTTAGGAAACTAGCTTATAGCCAACCCTAGTTTATAATTAAGTTCCTCCAACATCTTACCAAATACACTCTTTATTTTACCAAACACTCTCAATTTAATAAATTAGCTTAAAAATTTTCAAAATTTCAAATCCTAATAACTAGCTTATAAACCTTCAAATAATTAACGTATAAATTAGTTTTATGAAATACGCGTCATTTCTTGTGATTTGAATAGAAGCAGCCACGAGCCATAAAACAAAGTACAGTATAACTTAAACATAAATACTAAGTACCACACTGAAAAAAAAAATGTAACCACAAGATATTATTTTGTTGGCAACTAATTAGTGAAAAAACCCAAGCAGGAAGAGAAACAATTTGAATCAATTAATCAATGAAAAGTTAGGCGGAGAACGATGATTATCAATATATAATTACTGCCACAGTATGAATAATCTCTAAGCCCACATACTAGCATATATATAAATGATCAGAATATAAGATATCCTTTTAGATAATAATGATACATAATAAACCAAGTGAAAAACATTGGCCTGTTCTATGTGCTTTCTCCTCCTCCTTCTGAAGTAGGAAAAAGAAATATGCACCAAATTTATTTAGTTATTTTTATAAAAGGAACCATAAAACTAAAACTAACACTGCCTGGCTCCATCCTGTCTGCCTGTTTTTAGCTATCTAGAAGATAATTTTTTTTTGGAGGAAATTAAAAAAAAAAAGAAGAAAAAAAAAGGTTGGAAAAGAGCAAAGTTATTACATTGCAATCCTTGAGCAGATATGATATGTCCTCTAATTGACGTAGCAGAAGTGGGAATGTTAGGTTGAGAGGAGGGTAGGGGTCCTTAACAAGGGTATGTTGATGTTGGTGATTGGGTCTTGAGTGGTAGAAAGGAAAGGGAGGGCATGTTGGTATGGATGTGTTTTCTTCTCTTCATTTTGATTATTCTCTCTGAACAAGGCTCAAAGGGGGTGTATGAGAAAGAAGGAAGAGAACAAGTGTTGGAAATGAAGAGAGGGAAGAAAGAGATTGGTATATAAGAGAGAGAGAGAGGAAGAGGGTTTTGTTTTGTCCGTGCGGCCGGTGGCGGGCCTTTTTCGGCTTACGCTTTGTCCCCATTTTTCATA